ATTGGCTCACGTGCCGCGAAGCGGCACGTGTTCATTTGCCCCGGTTTTGCCAAATTACCGTTATTCGACAAATTTTGTATACATAAACGTTTTAAATCAAATAAGACAAATGTTTCGCTAACTTTTATTAATACATAATACAAAATCATAAATATGCATTTTTGTTAACTTTGAAAGCGAAATAAAAATTCATCTTGAACATGATGAACGTTAAAAAATTGATCGTCTTATTAAATGCTATTAAAGTATTGGAGTTACGAGCATTAGAAATCATATGTTGATCTCAATCAGAATTGATCAATAAGGGGTTACGCATTTCGAAAATAAGTAGCTATGGTGAATTATAAATCGGAAAAATAAAATAAGATCCCCTAACAAAATAAATTGCACCATACTTGTTTTGTCAAAACTTCATATTTCGAAGATCAAACGTAATAAATATTGCATTTAAAAATGGTTAAACTATTTTATTATAACAAATGTTAGAAAGTTTTTAAAATGAAAAATTAAATTTGCATTTTTACGTCTATGACAAATTCGATAAGTATAAATGCTGAATGTCAGAATAAAAATTAGAGTTCTATTAGGATTAGGGTAAAGTGTACGTGTATACGTACGTACGTATGTAGATTGCACAGTTAAACAAGTAAGGAAACAAATGACGATCCGTCAATTAAAAACTACGTAAGTACAGACATCGATTGACCAATTTAAAAGATCAGGTGTAATGTGAAAATCATACGTTTTTTTAAAAAAACCGCTCGTAAGCCAAAATTTCATCTATGTAACCACCTTCTGCGCATTAGTAAAAAAAATTCCTTAAAAATTTTAGTATCAGTTTCGTTATAACTGTAAGCCTGCCTCTAGTGTAATGTTTTATAACTAGAGATGCGAGCGCAATGCCGTAATTAGTGATCCGAAACGTTTATTTGAAAATCAACTAGTTGACAACTTACCAACTAATCATTTAGAAAAATTTAAAACAACTAATCGATCTAATCGATTTAATTATCAACTATTTCAATTCCGAAATATTCAGTCTAGTCGGACTAATCCGTGTTAATTTCTTTAGTTTGTCACATAGTTTCAACTAATCGATTGGCAAAATTTTTACCATAGTCGTGATCATAATAATTCATTAATAGCGATAATGATAACCACATAATCGTTGTTTTGGTAAGATCTGATTGGTCAATTTATGTCGATCAGTGAAAATCCTGGGATAGCTTCAAACAAATAAAAATATAAAAATGTGTGATGCAAATCCAAAAAAAGAATAATCAACGTAACAATAAAGTTTAAATTTAAGGTTAGGACGTTAAAGTAAGAGGCAATAGAAATAAATAATCAACCTACACATAAAATTTCCTACACATAAAATTTTATTTCCATCGTTTTTAATTAGTAACTCAAGACATTGTTTCTTGTATTTTCGCTTTTTTTCATTTTGTTTTTTCGAGCTGATTCCGAATATTATTAGAATCAAGATCGTGACGAGGTTTAATTTACACAAAAATTTTGTAAGGATATAGCGCAGAAAATAGATTTATGGAGACTTTTTAAGTTACTGGCATTTTTTCAAAAAAAGCGATTTTCACGTTACATTATCTATTATACTACAAGAATTTTGAAAATCATGATCATCAAACTAGATGTGTATGTTGGGAATAGAATTTAAGTGGATTTGAATTTCCTAGTTAAATTAAGGTTAGCGGTTCTACCGACAGTCATTTCACCGAATGCTCATTTAGCCGGCATCACATAGGGTTAGGGTTAAGCATTTGATAGGTCGCAGGTATATATTTTTACTAAATTTCACCTGGGTGATATCGGCTTAATGAGCTGTCGAAGTGATTGTCGGTAAAATAATACGGACCCTGGTTAGGGTGCACATATGATAAAATCAACCCCAAAACGGGGTTTTAAATACACGTATAAACTCCGAATACACTTAAATTCCGTTTCCACTTACAACAAATATGCACGCAAGTATACTTAGCCTCTTTAATTTTCATTATGTTTCAATTTATTCATAAATGTCCAAAGTTCATCGCAAACAAAGTTCGGAAATACTTTTTTGGTCAAATATTCTATAAATGTTCATAATATTGTATTAAAAAAAAGTTAGTACTTATAAATTATTAATGATGTTAAATCTAGTTCTACTTCTAATTTGCATGATCGAGATGGTTTTAATAATCTCCAATAAGACTTCTAAACAAAACAAATAGTAATAAAAAATGAATAAATACTCATACTGTTTTACTTATCATTCTTTCTTATATTATCTTATTCATCTTTCTTTTATTATCTTTTCGTTTTTTTTTAAAAAAAATAGAAAAGATACATTCTTTAATTTCAATTCCATATTAATTATATAACAATCACTATCCCAATAAGCTTTTTTCTTTTTGAAAAAGAAATGGGTTTTCTAAAATATATTACTTTTATTTTCGTATTAAATTATTTTTTCGTTTTGGTTACTTCGGCTGAGCCGAATGCAAAAGATCCGAATGATGATAGAGATAGATATAATGTTATTATTAAATCTAAATCAGATTGCGATAAACACTATAAATGGTTAAAGGATAATTACAATAAAACTGTTATAAAGTCAAAACAAAGCATTTTATCGATTAAAAATAAAAACTCTGTAAAAGATTTTTCTGTTGATGGTTTTTACGGATACACTGCCTGGTTTACTCAAGAATTTGCCAGCAAAACATTAAAGCAGAGAGATGAGGTCACTGTTGTGGAAAAGGATTTTACAATGAAAATTAATTCCGTGGTTCCACGTAGAATCGAGAACACCGTAATCCAAAATATAAATTTGGATCGTTTAGATAAAGGCAGTGCTTTAGATGAAAAATTTGAATTTCCTGATACGGCAGGTGAAGGCGTAAATGTTTTTATAGTGGACACGTAAGTAGTTCAAAATGAATGTTAGTATTCATTAAATTTTAGAATAAATGATTTAATGATTTTTCTTAATTATAGTGGTATATTTAAGGACCACTCAGATTTTGGAGGACGTGCTAAATCTGGTGCCTTTTTTTGCACTAATTGCGAAAATGATGATGACAAAAATGGTCATGGAACTAATGTTGCTGGAATTGTGGCCGGTAAAACTTTTGGCGTCGCAAAGAAATCTACAGTTATTGCTGTAAGAGTTTTCAATGCTACTGGTAGTGGTGTAAATTCGGACATTATAAATGGATTAACGTTCGTTCTAGACACTCATAAAAAATCAAAAAACAAAAATTCTGTAGTCAAGTATGTATTATTTATGATTTAAATTATGACTTAAATTAGTTGAAAACTATAATTGTTAATTTAAAAAATTTTTTTTAGCATGTCTCTTGGGGGCCCGAAATCAGATGTACTAAATAAAGCAGTAAAAGCGCTCACAGATGAAGGTGTTCATGTAGTTGTGGCAGCAGGAAATGATGCTGATGATGCATGCAAATTTTCACCATCATCTGAACCAACTGTAATAACTGTTGGTGCAGTAGAAGTTGACCCGACCGATAAAAAAACGAGTAAAATCGCTTTTTTTTCCAACTTTGGAAAATGTACTGATATTTTTGCTCCAGGTCTTGGAGTTTTGTCAGCAGGTGTTTTTTCTAAATTTGATCTTAGTGTAGAATCGGGAACCTCTCAAGCAACACCCCATGTTGCTGGTACAATTGCTCTTATTATTGCTAAAAGTGGTAATCAAAGTCCAGCAAAGATGGCCACTGCATTGAAGGATTTGTCATTTAAAAATGCAGTAGATTTTGGTGGTAACAAAACTAAAGAAAAAGATACTGCAAACAATTTAGTACGCATCCCTGCGCCATAAATAATTGAAATGTCATTATCGTTATATATTCTTGTATCTCTTATAGTGAACATACTAAATTTGCCAAATTAAAGCTTCTTATAATATTGAAATGAATACATTTAATTCATTACTCCTAATATATTCGTATTAATATTAACAAAATTTGTTACTAACTGCTTTTATAATGATAACTGACTTACATACGTCGTACATTATTTACAGTACGTAATTGGTAAATATTTGCGTTTAAATTAGTATAATGATGACGATGTGCCTGCTCAATTACTTGAAATCTGAAACCAAAACACCTCGAAAGTTATACAAAATTGTGTCATATCCATATTATGCTAACCGTGCATACAGAAATTACTGGCGTTGTCTAATAATCTCTATATGCCTGTTAGTACTAAGAAATCAGAATCTGATGTAGGTCCGAAACGAAAAAAAAATCAATTATAACTAATGCTAATTTTGTACAAATTACCAACTTCGTTTCCGCTTATTCACATACGGTCAGGGTATTATTAATTAATTCTCCCGTGATCTTGATATAGTGATCGGGGGATTAATTAAAATTATCGTTATATCGTTATACCAGAATGATCACATGAAATGTGGAGGGATGGTTCCGTTCAACTTTTTGGTGCGTTCGATTCTTGTTAAGGCAATAATGATTTTAATAATATATGGAGTGGTTTTCTAAAATCCTGTCGTGTATTATCATGGATAGTTCATGACTCAAGGAATTCGTGAAATAAAAATAAAGTCTAATGCATATAATTGGGTAACCATACGACCGATTAATATGTAACAATCCTTTAGTGAACCTACTCAATAAATAATTTTGGTAAAAATCGTTATCGAAGAACTTAGTTTGGGCTTCGTCGTTGGACACCATAGTTTACGGGATCATAAGTGATAGGATCATAACAATACACTAAACGGAGAACAAGTCAACAATAGTAGATAGGACTAGTGAATTAGAGTGCCCCAGTGATGGTTGTTGGTAGTAGCACGATGTAAGGTGGGAATCGATTCTAGGATACGAAATAAGCACAATGAAAATTATTTATTACCTGAAATTTAATATTTCAGCTTCTGGGTCCTGAAGAGTCCAGAAGCTGAATATGTAATAGTTATATAAACAGAATTTTCAGTGAAGTATAATCTACCACTTACGCGGCAGGTTATATACTTTGCTGCAAAATTCTGTTTATAGTCAACTACGCAAGATGCTATCCACGTAACATTTAGAACGAAACCATTATTTTACTCACTGTTTTTGACGTTTAAGATTAAATAGGGTATACTTATTAAGTAGATATATGTCTATCTAAATTAAGTAGATAATTGTCTAGTAAAATAATTATATTAAAAATATTACCGTTACATTGATAGGTTGTGCAGCAAGCCGGCTTAGCCGGCCCAGGCGGTTCAGCCGCGGCTAAGCCATGGCAAATATTCCACAAACAAGCGTTTTGCGAAGAATTTATGCTTAGGTGAATTAGGCTGATTTCTAGAACTCCCCCTAAGCCTAAAGGTATCACTATTTGTGCGATAGTTCGTGAGATATTCGGAGCCAGGTTACTTGGCTTAAATTACTGCAGATCAGCCGCTGCTAGTCCGTAGAAAATATTCCACAAACAAGCATTTTGTGAAAAATTTATTATTAGGTAAATTAGCTGATTTATAGAACTAGATAGCTGCGCGATGTCATCGCGCGAAACCAGGAATGGAAGAAATTGATAGTGGTTAGACTTGAAAGTTTAATATAATAAAGCAAGGTGTAGTTAATTATTAATTCAAAAATTACAGCATTTACATTTGAAAAGATATTGATTTAAAATAACAACAATTACTTATTGTTTGAAGAAACACAAGCCATTTGATACACATTGATCGAACAAAATGAATTATGAGAATAAAATCGTATGATTAAGTTCGCAATATAATTGTTATTCCTACTCATAGCATTTATTAAAAAAGGATATCAATTTTAATTATCAACAATTAGTTATTGTGGAAGAAACTCATGTTATCTAATACTTGTTGATTGAAATTATTATTTGAATTATAATATAATAAAATCATACAATTCAGGACATAACTCATGTGTTATTCTTATTAAAAAAAAAAAAAAAACAAATCCAGAATTGGAAAATTGTATTATTTTATTTAAATCAGACATAGATTCTTAACTAATAAAGTTAATCATATTGCATTTAACTTAATTTTTTTTTTTTTTACCAAGTAGGGTTGTTTATTTACTTATGCGCATTAAAGATAAATTAACAAATCAAAAAAAGAATAGATTATTTTCTAAAACATATAACATTAACAAGTTCTAATAATTACAGGTTCATGATGAATGAGTCTGGATTAGATCTGTGCTAAACTTTTGGTGAATAAATCAGAACAGGTCTAAAAAGCAGTTCAGATAATCGATTATAAGACATTCTTGCTCTAAAACACACCAATCGGACGATTAATAATTGTAATTATTAAATACTCTAATCGGTAAGATCTAAATCAAAATTAGTAATAGCAACCATTTTTCAGATGATCGTAAAGTTTCTATAATGATAACTGCTAGGGCAAACTGATTTTGAACAGGGCTAAATAAGTTCTTTAACTAATTCAAGGTTAAACTTCTTATAGACTGGACCGGTAGAATAGTTTAACGTCCCTAATGCTAATTCATATAGAGAAGGACTATCGTTAATACAATTTTGATTTTCTAAATAAGGGGATGTCTAAAGCCATGTCTAGTCACGTGTTTTTTTATTTTTTAATTAAAATTAAGGTAAGGGTTAGTTTGGGGTTAGGGTCAGGCATGTCATATAGTAAAATTGTCCTTCCAACATTTTTTATTAATGCACCAAGATGGGTTTAGACTAGGGATGAGCAAATCAAAGATTTTTTGAAAATACTGTGCAGGCTATGCAGCATGCATGGGCCTGCATTATGGCAAATGCAGGCCAAAATTGCTAAATTTCGGTGGTTTCTGGCATATTCTGGCCTTCTGAAATATTCTGCCTACACAGCAGCCTATCCCAATCGTTTCTTGTATTTTTTGCAATTTTCACTCTTCGGGTTGATCCATGTTGATCAAAATAAACAATTCTATTGGTTTTAGATCATGTGATAGATATAGCTTTAGACAACCCCCTAAATAAGTAACTAGATATATTTAGGGCTAAGTTCGTGTATTGTACTGTACATAGTTGTCAGTGAAAATGGCATAAAAACCAGCCTAACAAGAATCTCTATTTCAAAAAAACCAAATATAAAACTACTAATTCTAATAAAATTCTTTCTCTACACCCTAATTGGTAGGCTTCGATTAAGTCATAGATTAATTTGGTCTGAGAATAGGGTGTTTTACGATACTGCAGTGATTACAGAGACAAAATGAAATAACAATGTTACAACCAAAGAAGTAAGACTCAAAGAAGCTATTATTATTTATTCATTTATATTGAACTCAAGAGTGAGTTGAGCTGACCATTTGTCATTCTTGCTAGTTATGGCAGATTTGTCAGTTTTAATTAGACCACTTCAACCCTCTCATTATGTGCTCCCATGAGCATTACTTCCAAAAAAGCTTGTCTCTGCATCAGAATGAGATCCTAGTTGACAATTCAAAACTAGTTTTCAAATCATGTTTTTACAAACCTTTTAGAATCTTTTTCCTGGGACTCAAACAAAAACCATAAAACTTATGGAAAGAAACCTTTGATATAGTGTCACCTCCAGTTTTAAAGTAAACTACAATAATGGGAAATCAAAACTTGTTTATGTGTATTTATTATTTTCTGGCAAGTTAATTTTTAATGGAACTAATAGTGCAAAAAGTGAGACTTTAATGATTTTGTAGTCTTTTCTGCCATAGAAGTTTCAAAAAAAGAAGATCCAGCTTTAATGATAAGGTAGAAATCGAACTACAAAAGAAAGATCAATCACTACCTAACAATTATATATACAGTCAAACCTCTCTATAGTCACCTCCTCTATAGTCACAAAATTGATATAATTACAAATTTATTTTTACCAATT